ATCACAGCGTTTTGTTCACAGCACTACAGACAGAAGTTCACAAATCTCATCATCCCTCCAGTTAGCTAGGTTCATTGAGGTCTTCTTCATGTACTGTAAATGACCCTTCTTCTTCACTGTCGGATGTGTGTATTCTTCCATTTTTGCACCAGTCGCATAATAGAAATGTCATCAACATGGCCAGTTTCTCGCAGTGAATTGTCTGGAATTCTCCGTACTCCTTTTTACGGATGGGGGTACTAGGGAACTAGCAGGGTAAAGTCCGTTTAATGTTCCGTACAACTGATTCGGGCATCTGCATTTATACATACAGTCGCTATGCATGTCTGAATGGGGCTTTTGTTTTAAAGTCAGCTCTCTATATCCCAGACTGACGCTGCTTCCCAAATGTAGCATTTCAATCTTCCAGGCAGGCCGTGCAGAGGGGAGCAAAGTAGAAGTGTGATGGGACACTGGGTTGCCTCTACCTGGTGCCAAAATGACATGACCTTCAGGACACAAAATTGCTCAGAGAGCAATTTCCTGTGATGCATCCATGTAACTTTTACGGCGCTTTTCCACCGCACCAAGTACAGTACTTTTGGTACAATACTTTTGCTTTTCCATTGATTTCCAGTTGAGTACCAGCACCAAAAGTTCGAGTACCAAAAGTGCAAAACCAGCACGGGTACTTCCTTGGTACTTTGGGGTGGGACTTGAAATGCTTTCTCGATTGGTTATGCAAATAGCCTGCTGCTGAAAGACAATACAAACGCTGCCTTTAAAACAGTTGTGAAAATAATGATAAATGAAGCAAAAAAAAAAAAAGTGATTTGGTCGTAAGAACAAATACAACGAAAAGATCCGGATGACATGGAAAGAAATTAAAAAGTATTTTGTTGAATATACTAATAGAGCAGGCATATAGCATGCTGTCCTAGCGATGTGATTTTGTTCTAATAAATACTGGGGTATTTATAAAACAAAAAAGGAGTTCACAAATTTTTCACAAACCCGTCAAGGAGTGATTTTAACGGCAAGGATGAACATAATTATGATTATCTCGGAGAATGCATGCAGTGCTCATGCAAAAGCAGCGGAGGTAAACCTTTAGCTGATTTTTAAACATATAAGAGTCTATAATAGGAATAATAATTAAAATTGCAAAGCTTGCTAAGTTTTTTTTTTCCTATGACAGAGTAACAGAGTAAAAATATTTTAACAAAACTTTAACCTACAGTACACACTATAATATCTGTACAGAAATGAAAGTTAAAAAAGCCTTATTTTAATATAGCCGCCTAGCGATGTAAGAATTGGATGTGCATAACATGCGATGTTGGTATTAATGTCACACGTTGCCCAGTCCCACTACAACCATTTTTCGAATTCAGTACAAAATACCCCTCCTCGGTTGTCATGTTATTCGGTGCCAGTACCAGTTTTTACGGCAGTGCAAAACCAACACCTTGAAGTACCGTAATTTTGGTACTTTCTCAAAGTACCAAATGTTCGGTACCTGGGGCCTCGTGTATAAACGGTGTGTATGCACGAAAATGTTGCGTACAGCCGTTTCCACGCTCACGTCGAGATGTATAAAAACGAAACTTTGCGTACCGCTACGCACATTCTCACGGCAGCTCCAGTCATGGCGTACGCACATTTCTGCTCGGTTTT